ATTTAAAGCCCTTCTCGATCTCCAATCATCATGAAATATTAACCTTGCAAGAAACAGGGCCTTCAAAATCTTTTGTTAAAATTTCAGTTCGAAGGTTGGATTAAAAGTTATGTTTGATTTATCAAACGGTGTCTTAGACTCATTAAACTCTTCGAAATCTGAAAATCTTAACCATTAATAAAATAATGCAACAACCATTATTATGCCAAGAATATGTAAGAAATTTCTCCATGCCAGTTTTGATTCTTTCAAAAAGATCTGAATATTGAAGCTGGTTGGGGTTTGGCATGTCTACTAATCGGATGGAGGTAGTTTTGATTTCTTTTAAAAAGATCTGAATATTGAAGCTGGTTGGGGTTTGGCATGTCTACTAATCGGACAGAGGTCTCAATCAACTTTCTTTCTGTCATTCTCTTCAAGAAGTTTTTGGCATATACCTGAGCATTTATTATTTTACCTTATTTTCTAACCATGGTAATTTTTTTCTAGGGTCAAATGCTTACTTTGGTTGAGTACCTGATGCTGCTGTACCGTGCCTTGTTGCCTACACCAGTCTGGTATCGTTTCTTTTTGAACAAAGAATATGGCAGCCTCTTTTCGTCACTCATGACTGGGTTGTATCTAACTTTCAAGCTCACATCTGTTGTTGAGAAGGTATAAGTATCTTGATTTTATTGTTTTTGTTTCCTGCATCTGTTGCCTCCTTTTGCCTACATTTGGTTAGGAAAGTATTGAGCAAGCTGAATGGCCTGTCCCTTCTTAGCCTGTGTTATCATTTCTTCAATCACTCTCATTTTGGTTGGTTAATTGCAGGTACAATCTTTCTGTGCTGCTTTGAAGGCATTATCACGTAAAGAGGTGCACTATGGGGCATATGCAACATCAGAGCAGGTACTGTTGATTTCTCTTTTCTCTTAGATCAGGGCCCCACTTGGAACATTTGCACATAACTAGGTGTAAATCTGCAGTTATTTGGTTTCCTTCTTTTGGGGGATTTCATAGGACCCAAAGATATAGTAAATAGTCTCACTCATTTATGTTTTGATGAAATAAAGAACCCATGTTTATACTATGGCAAAATGGAAAGCAAAAAAAAAAAAAAAAAAAAGCAGAGAGAGCCATCAATAGAAAGTGCATCGATGGATCAGCCTAAGACAAGGGTAATTAACTAAGACACTAAAAAGTCTTGCAATTTCAATATTTCCATTAATAAAATGCCACATCACCAATACTCCGCCCCTCTTCATTTGAATGATACCTACCATCCCCCTACTCCCTTTTCCTTGATCTCTTATAGTTATATTGTACACTTTTTGTGCATAGTTGAGTCCCATTTACTAATTGTTTAATTAAAGCCAAGAACATGAAATATATAATTATTCTCTTTCACCCAAAACCTAAGATAGTTTGATTTTATGTCCTACATGTTATTTTTTTATGCCTTTTCATAAAATTGTTTAGGGATTTACAGGTTTTCCTTTTATGCACATAATTATAATTCTATTTTTACAAGGCCTGGTAGACGTCTCTTTTCTTTTCTTTTCTTTTCTTTTCTTTTCTTTTTTCTTTTAATTTATTTTCCCTCCCATAGAAAAACTCTTAGCTCTGCCACTGCATGTCGGGGAGGAATAAGCTGAAAACAGGAGCTTTCTCACTTTTCCTAGCTGTTTGATTGCAAATAGTTGAAGCCTTTTTATACAATAGCTAACCTGCTTTATGATCCAATGATAGCTTTGAGATGAATAATTCTATATATTGTGTTCATCATTTCCTCAGATTAATACAATGGATTTGTGATTATTTTGTGGCGTTAACAAAATAATTGCTCTTTAACTTACTGTGTGCACATTTTTTTAATCTTTCATGATCCTTCTTTTCTCGTATGTGCAATGAGATGTCGTGTAGAAAATTGTTCAACGATTGGTCTCTGACTCATTGTGTGCAAACTTCGACATGTTCAGCTCTCACTCTCTCTAGATTTCATTAGTGGTTCTTGACTAGTACATGGGATAGTTTTCCATGCATTCTAAGTCATCAATGCTGTAATGCAGGTCACTGCAGCAGGAGATCTGTGTGCCATATGCCAGGAAAAGATGCACGCTCCTATACTACTTCGATGTAAACACATATTTTGTGAGGATTGTGTATCAGAATGGTCAGTTTATATGACCTAATACAACCAGCATTTCATTTTCTGTTTGTTATTTGAACATAATTTGCTCTTGCTGAAATCAGTTAGCCAGCAGTAGTTAATTCATTTGTGTTTTATCTGAACTGAGAGTCGGTTTACAGGTTTGAGAGGGAAGGGACGTGCCCCTTGTGCAGGGCTTTGGTCAAACCTGCAGATCTCAGATCGTTCAGTGATGGCTCAACTAGTTTATTATTCCAGATATTCTAGAGGTGTCTACTGTAGAGACCAGCGAGTTTTTCTGCTTGGGAGCTCCAAACACATACTGAAAACTGCCTTTTCCGGATCATCATCTCACCCATACACGTATATGTGACTGTATTTGGCTCTGGCTTGTTCAGTGGTTACTTACCCAAGAAAATCAAACCAAAGATTAGTGGAACTTGAATTGGCTGCCCGTTTTGTTGTATCGGGGAAGGATGAATGTATCTAATGGCTTTTGAAGACAGTTCCTCAAATGATTAACTATATATATATATATATATATATATCCTTTTCATTTGTTGTCAATGAAAGTTTACCTTGTTATTTTCTGAAAATTGTATATACCCTTAATTCTCAAGAAATGGATGGATGCGTTTGCTATTTGGAGCGCTTGGCTTGTTTCTAAACATAGCAACCTGGTTGGTGTGTAGCTTGGAGTGTTTAGCTTCCTGCTTCGTGGTGGCGGCCTGCGTTGGCCTTGCACCATCTCTATCTCGTGTCCTGCCAGTCAGCAGCCGCGACTGTGCAAGAAGTGAAAGTAATATCTCTCTCTCTATTTTTTTTTCTTAATGCTTAATTTATGGTATTCTTTCAAGTCTGTAAAAGCTGCCTTGCAGTTCTGGCAAAAATTGAATCCCTGCGTAACTGGTGCATGCTGCCATGCCCCTTTGGAGGATGAAATGAGTCTATGAGTCGGTCTAGACTTGTTGGAGGTGGTTGCCGCAAACATTACTTCATGAACTAGTATTAGAAGGCAAGTTCTGGTTAGTGCAAAAGACAATCAGAAATTCTGGGATAATAAGAAAGCAAGGGTATGTCGATGATTGCAAGGAAACTTCAATGGTTGGTTCTACGCAAGGCAATCTGTGAAGCTATTCCAATACTCTCAAAACCAACTCCATATTTGTTTAAGGTAAAGCGTGTAAAAGAGTTTTTTTTTCCAGGTGATCGCTAAAGGAAAAAAAAAAAAAAAGGGTTGGCAATCGGTGTTAAACTGGAAAATCAAACAAGAGAATGAATAAAAGAATTAATTACGCAGTAGCAGTCTCTATTATGAAATAATACGGTGAGTTTTCAATATATACAGCATATGTTTATACAATTATATTTATAAAAGAAGTCTTTCCCAGAGATGTTAAACTTAACGGGCTTTGGACATTAGGATAGCATTGTATATAGATGAGCTGGTCTACTCTTTGTTGGTTGTCCATGGGGGGGAAACTCTACTTCCAACTTGGACTGAAGATAGGAGAAGGGAGCATGAGATACTGGCTTGCTTGTAACCTCATCTTGCATTACTGCAGAGCTAGATTATTTTTTTTATATATATAAAAATTATTTTCAGGTACTGTAAGTGTTTTTAAAAATAAAGAAAAAATTGAGGCTAGGTTTATACACCCGATGAATTAGAGAAGTTAATTTTATTTTAATTAAAATAATAATAATAATAAAGATAGATAGATAGATAGATAGATAGATAGATAGATAGATAGATAGATAGATAGATAGATAGATAGATAGATAGATAGATAGATCAAATTTTAAAAAGAAAATTGATTAGGATAAACAAAATATGGTTGCCCTTCATGTGTTTTTTTTTTAAATTTTATTTATTTAAATACTAAATTTTCCTTGAACTGACTTAATAATAACTCAAAAACAATTATGAAAGTTTAAATTTTTTACTTTTAAGAGTATTTTTGTTATTTTATTATGCATTTTAATTATTTATTATTTTTTATATTTGATCAAATGCTAAATTATCCCTTAGTTGATATTATAATAACAAAAATACCATTGTAAATATAAAAAAAATTCCTCTAGATAATAACAAATAACAAATTTTTAAAAGTATTTTGATCATTTCATTATATAATTAAGAAGGAAAGAGACTTGTTATTTAATAATAACAAATAAACCATGTAAACTTTTAAAAGCTAATATTAAGTTTTGTTGAGTGGAGAGGGAAAAACACGTTACAATAAATAATAATTTTAAGTTTGGAGCTCTAGTGTTTTCCAAGGGAATTTAGTTTTTTTAACTAGTTATTTTACCAATACTTCACCATGTATCATGTAAAAAAACAAATTAAAAAATATTTGCAACATTATTTATGTGATTCTTAGCAATAAGAATAATTTTGATTGTGAATTTAAAATTTGAAGTATGCGATTAATGAAATTGACTAAAGTTTCAATGTGCTATTATCATTATAATTATTTTTTTCTCACCAAAATCAATTTAAAGTATAATTTTAAATCATGTGGGAATTAAATTAATGTGATCAAATCGAGTTAGAAGGAACAACATGATTTAATTAAAATTAAGTTTGATTAAAATAAAATGTAGACATCACTGTATAAATATAACACAACAACATTGAAGGCATACTAGCTAACTCGATTGATTAGATCAAAACCTGTGAATTGACAAAGCCGGCGTTGCACGTGAGGGGGGAGCTCATTCCATGTACAAGCCGTGGACATTCGTACGCGCGGGGACAGGGCACTAAATTATTGCTGACCTGCCGAGAGCCATTAGCAGATGATGGACCCTGTGATGGACAGCAACCACTTGACTTCAATATTTAATAGATCAAACAATTTGTTAATTCCAAGTTTGTTTGTTATCTGGAAAAAGGAAAATCAGACTTTTTATTTGATAAAAAATACGCAATTGCATAAACAATTACATTCATAAAACATTAAAGAATGTTTGCCCAAGAAAAAAAATCTCCCCCAAAAACCTTGGCTTTATCAAACACAACCAAGACATAAACGGTAAGAAACCCAATCTGAGTCGAGACAACAGAATGCCAGAGATGAATATGACTACTTATTTACGCCATACGTGCTGAGGGTGTTTTTGCTTTTTCCTCCTTGTGCGCTGCAGACTTTGGAGTACATTCTTCTTCTTCTTCTTCTTCCTTGTTTGAAGGGATCAGTTTTTCCTCTTCTTTTTCCTCAAGTACAGGGAGACCAACACCTGGGGGGGCATCACTTCTTGTATCTTCTACTTCCTTGAGTGCAGGTATACCTGCACCTGGGGGGTCATCGCTTCCTGCATCTTCTTCTTCCTTGAGTGCAGGTACACCTGCACTTGGGGGGGCATCGCTTCCTGTATCTTCTTCTTCCTCCTCCTCCTCCTCCTCCTTGAGTAACGGTATACCTGCATTTGGCGGGGCATCACTTTCTGAAACCTCCTGTGTTTCTTGCGGGAGGTCAGGGACGGGACAGATTTCCTTTTCCAATAGTGAACTTAATGTGATATCTGAAGGTGAGGTGGGAGAAGGTGGGGAAACAGAAAGCATCTTCGTGAAGGGATAGACTTCGGTAACTTCTTCACTGCCTTCGTCCAAATAAACAACATCCTGCATTGTAAGTTGGTGGTATTCAACAATCTCTCTCAGAAAGCGGTTCTCGCGAGCATACACGGAATTCTCATGTGCTAGACGAGCTTTCTCAGCCAAAAGTGTCTCCAGTTGAAGGCGGATCTGCATGTAAATCAAATAGTAATCAATAGACTGCCACAATTGTCTCTTCCAGTTTAAAACAGCTAAAGAAGACAGATTCATCAAAGCATCCTACAGATACAGAAGCTAGCGGAAAGCAACACAGAGAGTACAGGTTACAAAATTAGGTCGAACAGCATGCATTGGTCCTACACAGAGATCCTTGTGAGATAAAAACACAATGAAGTACAAGAGTGCATTACCAGATCATCATCGTCAACACTGCTGCCCTTTTCACGGCTCTCCCGAAGCATTTTATTCTCTTCTTCCAGCTGTGAACATCTTTGTTTAGCAAAAGCCATGTCTGCTTTAACCGTTTTTAGTTCCCGAAGAAGAAGTTTTGCTTTGGCAGCAGTAGCCATGGCAACCTGTGAACAAAAGGCTAATCATGCATTTCACCAGCTAGGAGATTGAAACTAGGTTCTCAACTGTCTTTTGCTGAAGCTAATAAGTTGGAATGAATACTGATGATACGATTCCTATCCTGTTCTTAACATATTCTAAAATTGCTGCAAACCGAGTCAGTTCACAACCGCGATTACAGAAAGCCTTACTTTGGCCAAGCCATATGCTAAAATCTAAGTCGACAAATGGGGACAAAAAAATAAAATCATATTCTTCACACAGCCACAATAATCTATATTGAATATAGAGACCGCCATACTTAGTGACAAGCTGCATAGCAGCATTAAATATGTTAGTTAAGAGCTTAAATCTCAATCGATTTCCAAATTAATGCATTGAAAACTTTTTCCACATGAACCAGTGACCCACAAATACAAAGTTGCCAACTTACGTCGCGAGATGCCTTCAGTTGATTCTCATGGTTCAGAGGTTGTGTCTGTTGTTGCATCCACGAACTATTTGCACCAGGACTTTGAGTATATGCCTCGGGACCTTTTCGCCTAATTTGCAGTTTGCGAGTTTCTTGGATGATATCTGCTGTCTTATTTTCCACAATAGTGCGACCTTCCTGGAAAATAACTAGAGATATTGAAGCAATACAATATAATTTATATAATTGATAAGTTTAAATGTATGTATGATAGATTCATCAAGAAATGCAAATCTGCAAACATACTTGTTAGCATCATTAGAACTTATTTTTATCAGTTCTTCTGGAATCTTTCTTATTAATTCAGTAATTCTGAAAAGAAGAAGAGTAGAAAAAAGTCTGATACTGGATCAATTCAAACTCTCCTTCTCACAGAAAATCTGATCACTAATTAACAACATTCAATTTAATTGCTAACTGTTATTTTTAATAGAGACTTGGGTTTACGACCATAATTCTCAGCAATAGAAATGGAACCTAAACATCAATGGCCATGTTAGAGGATTGTCCACAAGCTAAAAATGGAAGAAAGTAGGGAAAGAAAAACCCTTTAGATGCTTTGCTCAAGATATAGATATGCAATCAATGAGCTCATCAAGCAGGATCAGGAACTAAAACAGGCTGTGCAGTGAACTCAATGGATAAGTTTGCCTAGAGTTGCGAAGGAAGCAAAACATCTTACCTCGAAAGCCTTTTCAAAGGTGTCACCAATTTGATTAAGGGAAGATGTAATCTTATCCAAGCCCTTTCGTATTGCAGGATTATCCATTTTCCTGAAGCCCTCAGGTGTCCGGTATGAATACTGTAAAATATTACGACAATCAATTGATTACACTTGCCCTTTTATTTTCCGATTTTCTTCACTGCAATAAGTGGGATTCAAATGTTAATTTCGTAATCACCTGACCACCTGCAGAGGAATCTGGCATCTGGAACCTTGACCTTTCTGGCGTTTCAAATTGTTGAGACATATTATCGTCCTCGAGAATCGCTTTTGCTTTCCGAGCAAGGACACCCCAAAACCCTTTCGAATCATTTGTTCCCGGTTTGTCCTCGTATGCACCAAACACCTAGATGTTCAGGCATCATACCCTATCAAATTTACAGGGTACGTATAATGTGCAATAAAGCTAGTAATGCAAAGACATGCAAACCAATCCGTCATCTTTCTAGAGCAATCGTTCTAGACTCCAATATGTACAATCATGCCAACAAGGGCATAAATCCAGTAAAAAAAGACTAAGATTTAGGCTCTGGAGACGTGATTATCTAGTTTGAAATCCCCTAACCTTAATTATATATTATCAATTCCTGAATATTTGGCGAACCAAGAAGGAAAGCTTAGAGACTATAAGCATATCAAATTTATTGAATCCTACCGAAAAATACTATAAAATCTTCAACGTTTCGAACATTATTTAATAGCTGCAAATCAATTGTCAACATATATGCATAAAAATAAAGGATACAGAACTGAAGCAGTGATCAAAACCAATTCAGTATGTAATCATGGATTGAAAGTAGATTGATAAGATCAATTTAGAGATGCAGATAAGACGAGATCCATGTTCATTTTTGACAGATAAAAATCCTAAGTGAAACAGAAACAAACGAACGGAATTGGGTTCTTGATAACACGAAAAAAAGAAGACATAAAGAAGACCTTCGATCTCCGAGAGATAGAATCTCCAGCATATGCAGAAGAAAGGGATGATTCCCGATGAGCAGCAGATGCCCTAATAGCCTGAGCAGCCAGAGATGAAGATGAAGAAGATGTTATAAGAAAAGTGTCGTCATTGATGTTAGTATTTTTGTTGATGTTTTCATGGTGGTTGTCTTGTTCTGGTGGGTGATGAATCTCTTCTTTGAATGTTGATGTCCTGGTAATTCCATGTCTTCTCCTATATGCCATCCCTTTTTATTAATGATAATAACTTGTTCTTGGCCGTTACAGCCACCCCCACCGCCACGATGACAAGTAGAGGTGGTGATCAAGGAAGAGGAAGATCACCACAGCCCACAACCGTCTCTCTGTTTTTGGATTTGTCCAACGAACCTTTACTTTGTTTTTTAATACGAGACATTTACCATGAGGAATGCTAATGTGACACCACTTGTAGCCTCTTAATATACACTTACATATATTCTCATGTTACTACGATCCAATGGTTTGCATTGACTAGCGGCTATGCTCCTTCCAAATATACAATTACTTAGTTTTGTGAATGCCCTAGTTCGGGTGTGGATACCCCACATAGAACTCGTAGGAATGGAATCTAATCTTGATCTACTGCTGGTCCAAAGATACTGTTAGGTTAAAAATAAAATAAAATGATGTATGAGTGAGCTACATATTTTGAAAACTTTATGTAGGGAGGCTTACGATTCATCTTCTCCCTTCGCTTTTTTCATGAAAACTCGCTTTTTTCAAGAAACGAGTCGAGCTGCTTGCCTGCCTCTGTCTATCGGCGCAACTTTCCAGTTATGATTTTTAGTTCGAGTCTCACCTATCTTATTTCTTCGTAAACGGGCTTGCCTTCTTTTTATACTTTGTTTATGCAGCCCTCAGAGCGGAGTGCCGAGATTGGATTCTAGTTTTTGACAGCATATTCTCAAGTTTTTTTATCTTGTCATAAGATTAATCCAAGTTCACACCAATGATGAAATGGATGCTTGCTCGATAAACTACGCGATTTGCATTACGTCTTTCTTAACAACCATTGTATAATCATAGTTAATTACAAAGCAATTCCTACGAGGCTGCAATCACTGCCTTCTTTTACAACAAAGGACCCTTTTTTGATGCAAGGCCTTAGCATTAAATGTACAAGAAGTAAAACATATTTCCTGCCAATGAGTTCATGTTTTAGTGCCGTTATGTTACAGCTGCAGAGCCAAGTTAGTATGCTGAGTATTCAACGAGGAGTGTGGACGGTTATCATTGTAAGTCTCACCTACTCTGTTCGGAAAAGATCCCTGCATACCTGAACCATGCTGCAAAAATCTATTCTGCCCCGGAGAATTTATCTGGTCAAGCTGTGTCTTGAAAAATGGCAGATCAAAGATGAAATGGCCAGAAACAGGTGTCAATTGTTCGCTAGGTTTCAAGGCCTGAATTGTCTCGGATGAACTGTCAAGTCCATGATTTGGAACTTGAGCAGCTGAGGTTTGATCGTCATCTCTCAGACATTGTGTACTTGGACTATGTGTATTGCCAATATGTCGATTAAAACTTGACATGCCAGTGGTCTTTAGGGGCCATGAAGATGGTGATAAACTATAAGTATCACTCAACCTGCTTTCCAAAGCATTTGACCTAACACCCTCGAAACCTGAATCCGATGGTTGTGATTTGTTATTCATCTTGCTTCTCTCCAGTTTATGCATTGCCGATCCATTATCCTTTTTACTTGAACCAGCAGCTAAAAGATTCAGATCGCTGGCATCAGCGACAGGTGAATATGAACCCTGTTGAAGGCCTCTATTTTGATTTTGGCGGGGCTTTTCATTCCTTGAGAAACTGGCAACATCCGTGTCATTACAAAAGGAAGCATCACCTCTAATGGAACCAAAGTTACTGTAACAATTACCACTTGGTGCCACTTTCTCTGAAGTTCCATGAATGCCAAAGTTGTTACCAGCATAAGCAACACCTCCTTTATTGACATCAAACATGTCCATTCTATCACCCCGGCTTACATTTTGGCATGCAGCTGTGATTGTAGCATCAAGAGTAGGTGGACACTGAGCAGAGGTTGATGCCGCAGAAGTTTGACAGTTTGGAGACTGAAGCCAAAAGTTTGAACCTGGAGTTGGAAAATTGGCAGCAGTGGTCCGCCATCCATCTAACTTGCGTTTGGCAACCATTTGGGCAGTTGGTCCTACGTCTTTAACAAACAAGAATAAGCTTTTATGATAGGCAATTTCCTGCTGATTCACCTACACCATGAGAGAACATAGTGTCATCTCTCATGAAGTATCTACTAATTCATGATATCAGGAAGCATAGATAGAAAACAGAACTGTTCTCTTAGGTAAGTCACTTACGTGCACTAGTAGCTTTGAATTACTATAAATTGATGAAATAATTGAATAGCTCTCATCATGGAATGACATCCATGGTTTATATGTAGAGCGCCTATCTGTTTCAGAAAAACCAAATCTTTTACTATCTCCAGAACCTGTTGAAGAAGAGCTAATTAAAACATGTTATGAAATTTGCACAATTCAACTTCATGAAGAGAACGAAAATTTTCTGCATTTCTGTGTCCCTATTGTTGGAGCCTATGGCTCCATCCATTTGTGTACACTCCACATTGAAGAGCCTCACAGACCACAGGTCCATTATTCTTGTGAGTGTGAAACCTTCAAAATTGCACAATCTAAACAACCAATTGTGTAGTGAGAACAATCTAGCCTTTTCCCTTGTAGAACAGATCCAACTATGATCTCATGTCAAGAGGATAAAATCTTTAACCTAGTGAATCCCTTTAATTTAGTGAATGCAAGTCAGTTAAGTGTATGACAACCCACAAGGAGAGCTCCTTCTGGACAAAAAGAGAGTTTCTACCTTTAATGAGATGGATTCCATATATTAAAAAATGGACAAATCACATATGGAGAACTCCATGGACTGTGGCTCTATAAACAGCATTTTCCAAAGCAATTTCTGAAATTTCTAGTTTAACCTTTAACATATTTTGTGCATGTTGGATCTGCCCTTCCCTAAAACAAGACCTTAAGAAATTTGATTTTGAAGTGGTCAGAACAGAATTCACTTCTTACCAAAAAGTACTTCGTCATCTCTTGCATCAGAATGCGCAGTGATGCCCAAGCATGCAGAGTTCACTCGGATTGCTCTTTTTAGACTTGATGAACAACTTGTTAAACGTGGGGTGGGTTTCGGGGATACATGAACTGCAGTATTGGTATTGCTGGATTTTGAACTCCTCGCAACCTTAAGGGATGGGCTATAAGTTGAACCCTTGACTTCATGTTGGGGCCTTCTACCACTTCGTCGTCTTGTCCCCGAGAATTCCAGTTCAAAATTATCAGGATCAGTTTTAAGAACATGGAAAACCTTCTTAGCTAATTCAGCAATGGCACGAGCCTGTAAAAATCAAGCTTTGACATTCAGTTGGAGGTCAAAAATTCATAATTTATCTACGCAGAATTCTTTGAATATGATTGAGTTGTTTTACAGGTAGTAGATAATCATACCTGTCTGAAATAAATGGTGGAAGAGGAATTGAAGTGCATTGCATTTCTGGATATTAGAAACACATCATGCTGCATAACAGTTAAAACTTTTGTAATCAGAAGAGGGAAGAATAGAAGTTTCTTGTCTGGAAGCTACATGGTTCACACATCAACACTGTAAAACAAATGTACCTTCAAAATCATAAATAGAGAACTAATGCTTGATAAAGGAGCAAACCTCAAATTGTTCAAGACTGTTATACATTCCTTCATGAAGTTTAGCCCTCATGGTGCCGAAATCCATAGGCTCTTGGATGACTTCATAATACTCCTCAACCTTATTAGCAGCGATTCCATAAATATAATGAACAAGAAAGGATAACATTCTTGATATGTAAGGAAACTTCTGATCATTACCAACCTCATTTGGGTCAACTGGTTCTGCAAATATTTCATGGGTATCTCGCCTAAGAGATGGAAAAATAAGAAACAGAAGTCAGAACAAGAAAGGAAACTGTTTTCAACCTGCAATTGACACCCCTCAGTAAGAAATTCAACAGCTGCGTCATTGCACCAATTGCAAAAGACACGAGAAAGGAAACTATAATTGCGAATTACTGATGATGTTAAGTACTTGATGCATACAAGAATTCCTCAGTAACTTAAATGATATAAATACTTCAGAAAAATATCCACCTCTGTAATATGTCAACGATATGCTCAAGTATTCGTTTTTCTGGCACCCATGATGTACATGAAAAACTACATGATTGATCTGATCCAGGAGAACAACTAGAGTCACAAACAAAGAAACTTGGAGATCTGATTATAAATTTAATTAAAAAAAGAAGAAGGAAGGTAACCTGGAGAATGAGCTTGTCCTTTCTGTTTTGGGCCATCTTTTTTCTGCAAAATGGCTTCATCTGGTCCAATAAGGAATGTGAAATACGATGTCAGTGTCACTGAAATCTGCAGTTTGCAATTACATTTTAACGGAGCAAAAAGGCTTACCACTATTGATTGGATGATCTTTATGACTTAGTTTTCTTTCATCTGATTCATCACTTGACTTGGGCTCCTGAAACCAAACTCAGGGAACAATGAAGACTTTCTATCAATCTATACAACCTCTTGAGCCACGAGGAGAGACCAAGAGGCAACAGCAAGCTCAAGCACATAATGACAATCACAAATTACTGGTTAGTTACTACCAATCTATAGGAACAGTTTCTGCATGTCATGGTAAAGTGGAAGGCTTTTTCAATTTGAACACAATGTAACCAACTCCCTTTGGAGTTTGGAAAAAGAAGAATGAAAGGAATAGAAGAGAGAAGAGAAAAAATCCTGAAGGAGCCCCACTGACTTAAGAATTACAATGAAAGCAATAAAGATAGTGATGATCATGTAAACCCATATGCTGCACTTGAGCTGAAATGTTGGGTGGGGTCAATCAACTGCTATTTCCAACTGCACAACACAAATTCTTCTCATGAATTTATGTAATAGTCATCCACTTTCACCCATATTAGGAGCCCTCTTTAAAACCCACCCAACAGCGTAGAAGTTAGATCCCAAATAAAAGAACAATTGGGCGTGAACAACTAAAATTATAGTGAGCAGGAAGCCAGCAAAAATACTTGTCACTGATTATTATTTCCATAAAACAATGAATTTGATGAAGCTGATTGTTATTACCCCACCACTCCAACAACCTTGAATAAATAAATAAACAAATAAAAGTAAAAAAGGAATGGAGGCAGGCAGAGAACTAAAACCTGTTGAGCATTGGGAGTAGAAGCCACATCTTGAAGTGGTTTAAGCTTCCTCTTTTTCTTTGCCCTTGTCCTACAGGCTGGACCCTCAGGTTGGTTCTCCTTTTGCTGCTCCAACTCCTTGTCTTGTACCTTAGCAACAGTACTGGTACTGGTGCTTGTAATGCTCCTACTAAGCCTAGTTTTTTTAGCAACAGTGGTCCTACTCAGTGGCTGAGCCTTCCACACATCCAAAGCAGATATCCTAGGACTCCTCCTGTGTCCCTCTCTTAACATTCTCCTACTCTTCATTTTTGTACTTTTCTAGCCAACAAAACCAAAAAAGAAACAAACCCACATTGTAAATTTTGTACCTTTGTGTTTACTCATTTCAAAGAGGACACCTTTACAGTAAAATAATCATAAAAACCCACCTCAAGTTTGACAAGAACAACAACCCAGGTTTCTTTTCTGCCTAAAAACGTGAAAAAGCGAGTGCAAAATGGCAATGGAGTTCGGTTGAGGTGTGATAGTTTGAGCTTTATAGAAGGAAAAGCAGCCGGAGAAACAGTGAGAAATGAGAATGGAAAAGGGGGTGCATTGAACAGGAACAGCTAGGAAACAAATGGGGTTTAGTTTTTTTCCATTTTAGTGAGAGAGATGTAGTATTTTCAAGCAAGGAAAAGGCATAAAAACCCCTTAATTGATTGCTGTTTTTTGCTGATTGTTTTAAATGCAATCTTGGTGTGTGCAAGCAAAAGTGGCATTTGGCAGGTGAATATAGGATAATCTTACCATCAAAGAGTAATGACAGGATAAATATATTGTAATAATAATAATAACAAAGAAGAAGAAGAAATGAAGGCTTTTCGAAAGCTTCTGCTTTGCAATAACCAGAGTGAGACAGGGCGAGAGTGCGTGTGGGGTTACCCAGGAGGGCCAGAACACAACCAGACAAGAAACGAATCAGCTAATAAAAGCGACTATACTATTGTTTTCCTCGTCTTGTCTTGATTTTATTTATTTATTACTGTTTTAAAAGTAATAATTTTAATTTTTTTAAATTTATTTTTAATATTATCACATCAAAATAATTTAAAATACTAAAAAAAAAATAATTTAAAAAATTTAAATTTTAATGAAAATCAAGTTAAATTTTAATTCCAAATAAGTATAAAAGATGATGGGTTAGAATTGTTGTCCGAACCTTTCATTTGTTGAATTTTTCAAATATGTTTTGATGGTTTTAAGATTGTATTGTTAACTTAAATTAAATTATTAATTATTCATGGTGTATTTATTGCTGTATTCAAAAAGTTTTTTTGAAAATTTTTGTTTTATTTTTAAAAAAAACTTTAAATTGTTTCATGTGCTATTAAAATATAACAACCTTTAAATTGTTTCATGTGCTATTAAAATAAATTAAAAATATTATTTTCATATATTTTAAAAATATTTTTTTTAAAAGTAGTTATTATAATCTTAAACATAATCTTAATGTTAATCTCCTTCTTGATATTGAATGATAATAAAAAATTATTATTAAAAATTAAGTATATATTTAGAAAAACAATAAAAAATTATAGAGGATAAAGATTTTTACAAGTAAGTTATTAAAATTATTTATTTTTTTATTTAATAAATAAATTAAAAATTACTTTTATTTCACATTCATATAAGTAGCAAGAGGTTACTTATCACTTTTGATTATAATTTTTAAATATAATTTAGTTTGGTAAGTTAATCTGAGATTTACTGGATTCGGGATTGAATCCAAACCAAGTTGAAAAAAATAAAATAAAATAAAACTTGATATGACTTGACAAAATCTAGTCAAACACTTAGTTATAATTCGTTTACTTACTGGATTCGGGATTGAATCCAAATCAAGTTGAAAAAAATAAAATAAAAAAAAACTTGATATGACTTGACAAAACCTAGTCAAACACTTAGTTATAATTCGTTTATTTTTAATTTTTTTATTAAAATAATATTTTTTTTTTTAAATAATTCAGACAATCTGGTAATTGATTAAAATTAAAAAACCAAAACTTGAACTAATAATTCAGATAATCTGGTAATTAATTAAAATTAAAAAACCAAAACTTGAACTGGGCAGACCACCTAGGTCTAAAAACTACGCTATCGATGAATCTCCTTATGATGGAGAAACTGTGGACAGATCATTTCAATCAATTTCATGCATTACTTATTAAAGTCAATTTTCTCATTTTTACAGCAAAACATCAATTTCCCTTCATAAAAATTAATGAAAGGTCATACGTAAATGATCTACTCGTCTGATTTGACCCATATTTTTCTTTAATTACGAAAGAAATGTATCGAACACAAAATACTAGAGGAATTCACTCTTCACTACAAATGCAAGAAGCAAAATAAGAATTGTCTCAGACAATCATAATTTATATATATATATTGCATATGTCAAGCATGATGCCCTTGATCATGCAGGATTCAGATTCACTGAGAGACAACGAGAAAATAAATTATTATTAATGTGTGGATGGCTTTGTTGAAACTGACTTCAGAAGCCATTTTTCTCTAACATAAATAAATTAATTTAAAAAATACACATGAATTGTTGTAATTTTGGAATGTTTCGCAATCTTTATACGGTAAATATAAACTTATTATATTGTAAATTAAAATAATATAATTATACTTTTTCTGTTCAAAAATAAAAACCAAATGAATTGATCTTTGAGGGCAAAAAAATCTTTTATACGAGATATATTTGTTATCATAAAATTGATCAGGTCTATAAAAATATATTTATTTTATTTTTGCAAGTTGCAAGGAGCTTCAACGTCATTTTTTTTTTTTTTAAATAATGGATTGACCTTAGTTTTCTCGAAGACAAAATTTCTTAAACTAGCTTCCGGTGGCTTTTCCATCCTTTTCATATTTATTATTATTATTATTATTATTATTATTATTATTATTATTACCAAATGCTTCAAGGCAATTTAGTACTTTAATAGTAGTTGGTCCATGTTGCACATGTGCCGGCATGGAGGCAACTCTCGATCCCTTCAAGTTATGCATGAGTTTATTCTGATCTTCAAACACTATCTTTCTTGAAAGCATTCGATTCGACGCGACTTCTACCCCATTCTTGGGCAACACATATGGCTGGAGAGGCTTCAGCTTGCCTTCAAAAGACTTTTTTTTTTTTTTTCTTCTTGATTTCTACACTTGCCCCTTTAATTTTTTAAATTGTCCTTCAATTTATTTTTACTTTATATTTAGTTCATGTTTTATTATTTATTTTATTTTAAATAATTTATAAAATTAAAGATTTTTTTAATTCTATCACCCTTCAATTTCTTTGACCGTCAAATTTGACCCTTAATATTTTTATTGTATTTTTTTGTTCCTTTAGGATAATTTTTAAAATTATATTTTTTTATTTCATCCTCGTTTAGTTTTTCCTTAATATTTAAGATAATTTTTAAAATTATGTTTTTTTATTTCATCCTCGTTTAGTTTTTTTATAATAGATTTAATTTTTATTTTTTTATTATTTTATTTTTGCTTAGGTAAATTCTTAAAATTATTTTTTTTATATCTCATATTTCAATATTAAATTTATAAAAAATTGAATTTTTTAATTTAATCTGAGTTAGGATTTCACTAATTATGAATTTTGAAGATTAATGTAAATTTAGAATATTCATTTGGTTTTGCTTCTTTTTCTTTTTTTTTTTAGGCTCATATTTTTTTTTTTAGTTTTATCTCTCAGTATTTATTCGATTAGAGATTGGGCTTCATTATTTTTTTAATTGTTTTTTATAGGATTTTTCATTAATTTTGACAATGACCCAAGTTATCTCAAGTTTTTTTATTTATTTTTTTAATTTGATTTTTCTAAAAAAATAAAATTTTCTTTTGAATTAGATTAAATTAATTAATTAAATATAAATATGGGATGTTAACTTCACATAATTTATTTAATTTGCTTTCTTGGTTATTGTTTTGACAACACGATCTTTTTCAATGTCATTATGTTGTTTTTCACAGTGACATGAGAATTATCTTAGTATACTCTTTTTAGTGATGGGGCAATGTCCACAGCAAAGTAACGATAAGTTTATAATTATCTTTTTTGTTCATCTCTTATTAAGTATGATATTGATGTCTTGTCTTTTTATAGTTAATTATTGCTGGGTTTTTTTGTTTGTTTTATTTATTATCAATGTCTTTTTTAAATTGTGTCGTTAAATTAATCAAGCTTATTAAACCTAGTCAAATAAATAACTTGGGTCTCAAATATTTCTTAATTTAGCATCGTATAATTTTTTTTTTATGTTGGAAAAAAAGATCTGAGTTGTAATGTAACCTGGACCATCTATCTAGTAAGATACTAAGAGAAGTTTTCTAGTGTTAAACGTAAATATCAACACTAGCTTAATAGTGGAAAATGAACATAAAGAAGAGAGAGAAAAATAAGAAAAAAATTAAAAATAATAATTATTTAGCATGTGAATATTTTTATTATATTTTATGTGAAGTGATGTAATTTTCTTTTTTCTTTTTATATTTATCTCTCATATTTGGTAAGTATTGCTAATTAAAAGTTTAATATTTTATTTTCTTAAATAATAGCAAAGGAGGAAATATTTTACTTAAATTAGATCATCATATTATATTTTACTTAAATTAAACCATATAAATAATTATTGAGACCAATCAAGTAATGATTGGTTGCTGGACAATATTGATCAGACTATTCTGTACTGAACTGGACATGACTAGATAAATAATTGTTTTGTCTTGTTGCATGTCCCTGTATGGCATCGGCTGGTGTTTTTGGTTCCTTTGCTCTTGTTTGATGGTTCTTGAGAATCGTCACCTGGTATTTAATTAAGAGTGATTAGGAAATACAAATGTACTAGTCTTATCAGAGATTCATAGGTAAAAGACTGGTTATGGTTAGGAAAGATATTAGCACCCCTAGCGCACCCTACCTGAAGTAAGTTGCTTCATGGTTTTGTTGTGTTAAAGAAGTTTTAAAAATCTTATTCTTTCATCGGATATCAGAAATACAACTTACATGTAAGTTCATAATCTTTAACCGTAAGCAAATCAAGATATTAAATTTTCTTTTGTCTTTGCGGTTTTATCATAAAAAAATCCATTAAAAAAAACAAACACATATTCACTTCTACTATGTTTGACACATGCCTATAATTACATGTTACAAAATAACAAAAATTCAAAATAAATCAAACAACAGTAATATAGATATACACATCAACATCTAGAAATTATAAGAAAAGCCTCGAGAACAGTGTTGGAAGGCTTCTGGGTCATGAAAATAGTGGCGGCGTGTCTTCTCCACATGCCATAATCACTAGTAGCCTGTGAACTCACGTGCGGCCACAAAAAATCCAAGCAACAGGGAAGATTCGAAAAGGCTTCCTCCCTTCTTCCTCACCAGTGGTGATTTGCATAAACAATAAAATCACATAGCTGGTTCAGGTGGAGGTGCCTGTATTGTTCGCTGGGAGAGGAGAAGAAGATGAAGCAAAACCTAGGGGGGAAAAGGGGCTTAAACGGCTGGTTTAGGAGGGAATGTGGGGTTCTTTGGTTTTTTTTCTTTTTCTTTTTTTTTTCACCAGGGGGTCAAATGGGTTTAGGTTTAGGGAGTTTTTTGTTGGTTGAGTTGATCCCAAAGAATGGATGTTGACTCCCGAATGTGTAAAATTGCTCCCTTTTGTGTGTGTTGTGTAAACTAGTATTTATAAAAGAAGTGTGACTTGGTCTTCAAATATGGTCCCTCGACTTTTTTTTTGGTAAATTTTGATTTTTTGTTTTTTTTTAAAAAAATGAGCAATATCAGTGCTGACTTAATGAGAAAAATAATGATTTTAAAAA